AGCGAACCCGTAGGCGTTCTCGTTCATTACGTTTCCATACCGTTGTTCCAAAATTGCTTAATTTTTGTGGTTTTTCAGAGCTGGTTACAAATTAACGATTACTAACAAACGGTTACTACTGACGTAATGACACACGAATAGTGCGAATGTATCGCAGCATGAGTTTCGTGTTAATTTCGGCTAATTCAGCTCCACTTCTCATGAGAGTTAATTAAGCGAGCGATTTTGACTTTTTTGATTGATGTTATGGCGGCAATGCCTGACAACACAGCAAGAGCTGGAGCAAATATATCGACGCTTAACATTTTATGATTGTGGTGCGGCCGGAGTTTAGCGGTTGATGGAGTAAGCTGAACAGAGGCGAATAAAATAAAATATTTTTTGGTGAGTTTACTGGAAAGAGACCACATAGGAGCAGTGAATAAGTATTTACCCGCGGTGAAGCGGAAATATGTATTCCATTTTGTTTCAGCTGAATCTGGTGATTATTTTTTACGTAAATCTGAATTTTTTGACAAATACAGCTATCCGAAGAGACAAAGGCAAAATGCCGATTACTTTGTTTTCGACTTTAAGCCCTATTTTCGGGCTTTAAAAAAAACCTTGTGTGCTTACATTTCATTGATCTCGCTTGGCAGTGGAACACGCGCTTCAGGTGAAAATGGACTGATTCGATTCGGCTTCTTCTGTTCCTTTGTTTCAGCTGCAAAATATTACGAATTGAAAACAACTTTCAAAGTGAGAATCGAAAGAAAATTTGAGGATTCGAGGTACTAGTTATGGTTTTTTGCAGCTATGCAGTGTGAAAAACGCATTTTGACGAGAGGTTGTCTGTGTGTGTGTCTGTGTGTGCGCCGCGCGTCTGTACCGATTTTTCATCTCGAGACTTACAAAAGCTACAGGGCTGAAACTTGGGGAACTTAATGTACATGCATGTACGGACCCCCATCCTCAAAATGGGTGGTCTTACCCTCGTGGTATCCACGCAAGAGTTTGCCAAAGTTTTTTACGGGTAAGCTGCTAACTTGCGAACCAGAAAAGATAGAAAGCTGAAATTTTAAGGGGATGTTCCTCGTCCACGTGTGTCTAAATGAGCTCAAAACCAGCCCTCGGGCAAGCGTGGTACCCGCATACGGGCCTGCCAAAATTTTTTTCGGGCAAGTTCATAACTCGGGGATCTGAGAAGCTAGAAAGTAAAAATCTTAAGGGGTTGTTCCCCGTCCACGTAAGTCTAAATCAGCTCAAACCCAATCTCCGGATAAGTGTGGTACCCACGCACGGGCCCGCCTAAGTTTTTTGACTAAGTTGGTAACTCGGGAATTTTAAAAGCTAAAGGACTGTAATTTTAACGCTCAGGAGCCTGGAAAGCTGGGAAGCCGAAATTTTAAGGGGGTGTTTCCTAACAGTTCTGGCGGTCTTAATTTGTTTAGCAAGAAGCATTTGGCGAAAAGCCGGTGCCAGTAGCGACAAAAACTGCGGGGAATCATGCAAAAAACGC